GCTGAAGCTGAGAGCCAGGGAAAAGGAAAAAGCCTGAACGATTTGAAGTTGAGAGTTGAAGGACTCGCCAGTGAAGCGGAGTCTCTGAAGCAAATGGACACAAACCTGACCAGTCAATTTATTGCGTTATTGAGAGATGAACAGGAAGAAGAGAAGACCGACGAGGCAAGAGACAACAAAATAAAAAGCCTAGAGGAGAAGATTCAGGAACTCACCACAAATCTGACCCAGAAAGTCGGCCCAATAAATGTATCGAATTTGTTGTCCCAAATTGCAGGTATAATTTTATTTTGTTTTTGTTTTAGAAACATTTCATAATTATATAGAATGTAAAAAAATATCATGACGGGGAGAATACATTTTTATATATTTTTATCTTATTTGGCTTTTAAACTTTCTTTAAAGCAGTATCTATTTGAATTTGAACACTTTTTTGGCTTTGTCAGGTGTGCACAGTGAGATCTCAGCCTATCCGGACATTGTGGTCCAGGCCGCATGTGCAGCAAGCTATCGAGGTGGATTTGTTTCGGCCGTCAGAAGAACGTGTTCGAATGGAGCTTCCTCCTGTGACGTGGTCTGTAGAGAGGCCACCTCACAGATGAAAGCAAAGATGGGAAATCAGGGAGGAAAACAGTTAAGTCACTCTAAAATCACTCTAAATTATTAGTCTTTTAAAAAAATAATTTCATCCCTACTAAAGGGATTCCATTCTTTATAAAAAGAAGTGAAAAATATTTCAATTATAAATGAACGTAATTTTTTCATCATTGTTGCAATGTATTGTGGTAATTTTTTTTAATTTGCCAGGTTTATACACTCCATGTAATCTAACTTTCTTACAAAATAAGTGTGTTGAGACTCTGGTGTTTTTATGTCACAATTAAATCATGAGACATCGTAAAATAAACACCTAAGAGTTCAATATTAGTAATATTGTAGCTATCTTTAATTATAGCTTTTAACCATAAACTTATTAGTATGAAAATTAAATAGATTCAAGAGATTCATCTCAAAATAGAAATATTTTCCTCCCTTTTAACAGAGCACAGTGTGTTCAGACCTTTCATTTCTATGGATTGAATGGAAACCTTGTACCTGGTGTACCCGGGAAGGTCAACAGGATAATGTACCGCTACGACTCCAGTGCCTGCTCGAAACAGTTCTGTGGTCCGAATTTTTGCTGCTGTACTCTGTGAAACATGATTTTATTATTGACATTTTGACTTCAGAAGTACATGGTTCATTTTTTTGTAAATTGTTCTGTTAACCTTATAAACAAACAATTGATGAATACTATAATACTTTATGCATTAAAAAGAAAGGATTGTACAGTGTAGTTCTTGAGACTTGAACACTGGGAAATGGAAAATATGAATAACAATTGAGGTATTATGAGCAATGAGCTAACTAAATGATACCCCCCCGCCTCCCATATGGCAAAGTCCATGTTTTCCTGTGGCCGGGAAACCCAAAATATGTGTCGGATCAAAAAGCAAAATAGGAGGTCACGGAGGTCACACTGGCAATATGTTATAAAGATTCTGTGAAAGTTTCATTAAATTTCACTCAGTGGTATAAGAGGAGTTGAGGATAAGAGATGGGTACCCAAAAGCGTAACAGAACCCAAAAGCGTAACAGGACGGACGTACCGACAGACAGACGGATGGACATACCAATTACTATATACCCTCCCGCTTTTCAAGCGGGGGGTATAATAATGTATGATTGATATGATCTACTTTTATAAGTAGCTTGTCTGATGAATGGACAGTCCGTAGATGGAATAAATTATAATGTAAAAATATGGTAATTACATTTAATAAACAAACTAGAGGTACTGTGAGCAATGAGCTCACTAAATGATACCCCCGCCTCCCATATGATATAATGGCAGTGTCCATGTTTTGCTCTGGAAAATCCAAAATATATGTCAGATCAAAAAGTAAAATAGGAGGTGCACAATGGCAATATGTAATAAAGGTTATGTGAAAGTTTCCTAAAATTTCCTTCAATGATATGAGAGGAGTTGCAAATGGGTACCCCAAAGCGTAACAGACAGACGGACGGATATACCGATTACTACATGTATATACCCTCCTGCTTTTCGAGCGGGGGTATAATAAACTAAAACGATACTTGTACAATTGATGTCCCTTGAAGGAGAAATGTGTATCAAGAGATGCAGCATAATTTATTTTGATTATCACTTCAAGGTGATGTCAAGGCAAAAATGGTATTCTACAGGAGTTCATACACATGGACAATTTCACTTACAGTGAAAAAAAAATGCAGAAACCCTCGGGTAATTACATTTACAGTGAAAAAAATTGCAGTACTCTTAGAAAGTCAGATGTTAAACAACGATGCCCCCGTATGGCAGTATATTGCGAATCTTTGATTAGAAGTCACAACAATATCAACTATTTTGTTTTTGTTTATTCACTAGATAAGTTGTAATGACCAAGATTGCTTTGAAATGCTCTTGCTGAAAAATCGTTTGATTTGCTGCCAGAAATAATTTTTAGTCAGAGAAAAGTTGATTCTGTTATAAATTCCATGATATCTATGAAATGTTAAAAAAAATATAAATGGTAACATATAAAGATTAATGCTATACCATCATCATACGTATATTTGTAACGTTTTTACAAAGTACAAATAATTATTTAATAGGTCCGCTTAGGATTCCTTCCTAAGTATCATGTTTATAATATGAATCAAACAAACTTCAACAAAGATAACACTATGACAAGAAACTGATTGAAATTCACTATGTGTATATACTTTTTCCTCGGTCCTATCTGGATAAATGATTAGCAAACAAATATGAACTTAACGACAACGAATTATAAGAAAAGAATCAACCACAATTGAATCACTAACGATCAAGCAAATAATCAAATATGAAGTTATAACACTGTAGTTGCAGACTGAGTGGTTTAACCAACAATCCTGTTGTTTCCCGACACAGTCTGCAACTACCTAAAAAAACACCCTAAAAGTCACTGAGACACCTTTTATTAAAAGTCACCAAGACACTATTTTAAGTCACCAAGACACTATAGTCACTGAGACACACTATTAAGGAACTAGGTTCCTGAGCTGAGTGGTTTAACTAACAATTCTGTTGTTTCCCGACACAGCCCAAGAACCTAATCCAGGAGGTGTTACTCGAACGATGAGTAACGACCAAGTAACCAAATACTTCATGGGTGTCTGTATTTATACTGTTTCTACTTACTGATGATTGGTTAATAATTTACGAACACTGATTGGTTGTAATGTAAACGTTGATTGGCTAATTATCAAATGATACGATTGGACGATTCAAGGGCATTTCAATCCAATATGATTTTTTGTTTCATTACATTACCCACGCCTTCGGAAAAAAGTATGCGTCCTCGCATAGGTAAATAAGAGTACAATAAGGTTAAAAACATTGAACTTTAAAACTGCAGTAGTATCTCCTACCAAACGCATTTTTATTTACATTTTCAGAAAGAGACATAATCACTAAGGTAGGCTGGTCTGCTTCTCTTTCGTTTGTCATCTGCCTGAAAACTCTCCTTTTCATATGTTTCCTCAGCATCTTCATTAATGTCTTCAGAGGAATCAGACATTGTATTTTCTGCAATGTTATTCGCTTGCAAAGGCTCTGATGTTAGGATTTGGTCTTTCATTAGCCTTATCCTGTCAGTATGAATGACTTGATTTGTTCCTCTGTATCCACAGTTTACTCTATAAGTAACATTGGAACATTTCTCAATAATTTCAAATGGCCCATGCCAATACGATGTAAATTTGGGAGATGTACCAGCCTTACGTTTTGGGAAGTAAACGTAAACTCTGTCACCTGGCTTAAATGACTGCCAGTTTAATTTTCTATCATGGTACCACTTCTGTCGTTCTATACTCTCCTTTGTCATTTCCCTGACAACTGCGCGTGCTTCTTCTAATTTTTCTTGTAGCTCCCAAACCCATCTATTCTGTGGAATTCTCTTAATTTCAGAATGGACCTCGTATACGATATCCAAAGGTAGCGACCTCTCTTCCTAACATCATTTTGTTTGGAGTTGCACCCGTTGATTCGTGGACTGCTGCTCTGTATGCCATCATTACGTATGGGAGATGTTCGTCCCAATCCGTATGGTGCTCATTGACATAGGCTGATAACATGGTAGCCAGAGTTTTGTTGAATCTTTCAACCATCCCGTGCGATTGGGGGTGGTACGGGGTGGTGTGTGTTTTCTTAATATTCAAAAGCCGGCACATTTCTGTAAAAAGATTGCTTTCAAACTGGACTCCTTGATCGGAGTGAATAGTTCCAGGCACTCCAAAACGGGCTATGACTTCTTCAACTATCACCTTAGCTACAGTTGCGGCTTCCATATTAGCCATAGGAAAACTTTCTGTCCATTTAGTAAAGTAATCCGATACGACTAGTATATATCGGTTACCATTATTGGACATGGGAAGTTCGCCTAATATATCTGTAGCAATACGTTCCATTGGTGCGCCGCAAGTGACAACTTGCATCGGGGCACGTTTAGTAGTATTTGGTGATTTTCGCCTTTGGCATTTTTCACAACCAGCAATGTACAATTTAACATCTTTCTGCAATCCTGGCCAATAGTATTTGCATTTTATCTTCGCCAATGTTTTCTTTATCCCAAGATGTGCAGAAGTCCTTTCATCATGGAACTGTCCTAATACTGTTCGTCTTTCACTGTATGGCACAATAGCTTGCAAAGAAACTTTGTCATTTTCGTGCTTTTTCTTTCGGAAGAGCATTCCATCTTCTAATACCAGAGCATCCCACTGAGAACATAGAGACTTTATGAAGTTGCTATGACCAGAAATCTCTGATGACTCCGGCTTTACACCTTTTTCAACCCATTTGATCAGTTGATTAATGTCTCTGTCATCGTTTTGTTTGGCTTTTAAAGACAACTTGTCCTGAGGTGCAACACTACTTAAAGCATTAACTATATTTTCAGAAGATGTACAGCATGCTTTTCTGCAAGGTAAACGGCTGAGGGCATCGGCATTTGCATGTTTATTCCCTGGTCTGTGTTCAATGGTCATTTGAAAATTACTCAGTGATTCAAACCATCGAGCAAGCTGGCCTTCTGGATTCTTGATGTTCATTAGCCATTTCAAAGAACTGCATGTGATCTGTTCTGACTAAAAACTGTTTGCCATACAAGTAGTGTTTGTAATACTTTGTAAAGTAGACAACAGCCAACAGCTCCTTCTTTGTGACGCAATATTTCCGTTCTGCTTTTGATAAGGTTCTGCTTCCAAAAGCAATCACTCTTTCTACTCCGTTTTGTGTCTGTGAAAGAACTGCCCCTACTGCTACGTCACTAGCATCTGTATCCAAAATAAATGACTGTGTAAAGTCAGGATGGGCAAGAATTGGTGCGGAGATAAGTGCATGTCGAAGTGAGTCAAAGGATGCTTGACAATCATCTGTCCATTTGAAATTTGCTCCCTTCTCAGTCAATTTGTTCAGTGGCTTTGCCTTTGCTGCGAAGTTGTGTATAAAACGTCTGTAGTAGCTGCAAAGACCTAAAAAGCTTTTTACCTCTGTTAGATTAGTAGGCACAGACAAATTTTGTACTGCAGAAATCTTTGAAGGATCTGTGCTTACACCTTCCTCTGATACCACATGTCCGAGAAATTCAACAGTCTTATGAAACAAGTGACACTTTCTTGCTTTCAGTTTCAGGTTTGCAGATGACAATCTATCAAATACCTGTGTTACAAGATTTTCTAACATGTTGGTAAACGATGTTCCGATAACAATGATGTCATCTAGGTACATCAAACATATTTGCCATTGCAAGCCACTCAAAACAGTTTCCATTAGCCTTTCGAAGGTTGCCGGGACATTGCAAAGGCCAAACGGCATAACATTAAAATGGTATAAACCACGTTTAGTTGCAAATGCCGTTTTTAGTTTATCTGAGTCATCCATGTTAACTTGCCAATACCCGGAGCACAAGTCAAGGGTTGAGAACCACTTTGCTCCGGCAAGACTGTTTAACGAGTCGTCGATGCGTGCAAGTGGGTAGGCGTCTTTGACTGTAGCTGCATTTAAACGCCTGTAATCCACACAAAATCGCAGAGAACCATCTTTCTTTTTGGCCAAAACGACTCCTGATGCCCATGGGCTATTCGATTTCTCTATGATTTTCCTGTCAAGCATGTCATCTAGTTGTTTGTTCATCTCGTCCTGTAGATGATGCGGAATTCTTCTAGGAGGTTCTTTCAGTGGGCGTGCATCCTTGGTATCAATCGTGTGTTTAACCAGTGAAGTACGTCCCAAGTCTCTGTCTGACCTCGCAAATATATCTGCATACCTAGCCAAAAACTTCTGTAATTTGGGTATTTCACCACCGTTTAGATTAACTTTAGATCTCTCAAACAGATCCTGCAGATGAGATGGCAGATCTTTGCATGGCTTATTTATAGTAGATGTTGATTCAAAAACATTGTCAACTGAACTCATATTTGCAATAAATGTTCCTGGATACACTGTTTGACGTTCATGGGATGGATTCATCATTCAGACTGGTATTTCTCCATCTTTTACATATCCAACTGATCTTGCTATTAATGCTTTTCCTGATTTCAGGAACTTCTCCGATGGTTCTATCATACCTAAAACTTCTTTCATGTCGTAGGATTTTGACGGCATTGAGACTTTGCAATAAGTCACTATTTCACCTCTGGCAGGAACAACAATCATCTCTTTGGAGTTAATTCTAAAGCAACCGATTTTGCCGAAGAAATCAACTTCGTAAACTTTGTCGTTTACCTTCAAATACCCATTAACTATGTCTATTGTACAATTGTATTTCTTCATAAAGTCAAGTCCAATTACTCCATCAAGAGAAAAATCTGCTACGATGACATCTTGGCTATAAAAACTCTCACCCGGATTAATGCAAATGCTAGTTTTTCCTTTCACATTTAAGTCGGTTCCACATGCGGAAGAGACTATTTGATCGGTTTTGTACAAAACTGGTTTGTTTTGTATAGCCTCATAAACTTTACTTGACATTACTGATAGTGTTGCTCCCGTGTCAACAAGCAAATTCGCTTCAATTCCCTGTATGGTAGCTTTCACGTACATTCCAGCCTCAGGGTCATTCTGGTTTACACCAACTTGAGCTTTGTAAGACGTGATGCATTTGAATGTGTTTTGTACAGGATGTTTATTTGTATTATATGAATATTTCTTTTGTGCTGCTGCGTTTTGTTGAGTTCTATAACCTTGTGGACAGTCATATCGGAAATGATTTGGAGATCTACACAAATAGCAGCGTCTGTTGCTGGTAGCTCCAGGTTTCTTTTTGTATACAACATCCTGGGAATTCTATGCTTTCATGTCATTAACTTCCTTACGAAGTTTTCTTATTTCATCCTTTAGCTCTACCAATATACTTGTGCTGATCTGATCAGATATGGTTTTCTTGTTTCCCTCAGTTTTCTCTGACTGCATTGGTCGTAAGTGGGTTTGTTTTTCGAATATTTTACGATCAGATTTAACAAATGCTTCCAATTCGACAGCATGTCGAATAGCATCATTGAGGTTTAATGGCCTTGCTTGTTTTATTCTCAATCTCATGTCAGCATCTAGGAGGGCATCAATAAACTGTTCTTTTGCCAGTGTTTCTTGCACATCTCTTGGCGCCGTTGGGTATGCCAAGCTTGTGAGTCTTCTTATAGATTGTCCCAATTCTGGTAAAGTTTCCGTTGCTCGTTGTCGGCGTTCTTGCAGCTGGGTCCTATACAAGTCATTTTGATTCGATGGTGCAAATCTCTCCTCTAATGCATTCAAAAGTAAGACATAGTCATGCTTGTGTGTGTTAGGCAAATTCCCCAGTACACCTTAAGCCTGCCCTCTTAAGGAAACTGCTAAATATAAACCTTTCTCTAGTTCCGTCCACTTGTTCAACATGGCGCATGCATCAAAATGGGAACGATAATCTAACCAGGATCCCGAACCATCAAATGTTGCAGGTTTTATATGAGTCTGTGGTTTCTTCTCTGTTGCCGTTATGATATCGGTCTCTGTATCCTGTCTACTAAAGCGACGATCCTTTCGGCGATTAGTAATGTTTGACTCTGTTGCACTTCCAGAGACTGGTGTTGACATTAAATAACCAGGTCTTTTGCCCTCATCGGAAGGAACACTACTTGTACCAAACAACATTTCATCTTCCCAAGAAACTTTTCCTATGGGATTCTTTTTCGGTTTAACATCACCGTGAAAGTCTATATCTGAAAATCTGCTTGATGCAAAACCTGAATCTTTTGATTTCGTAACTGATCGAACATCTGGGGTACTTGTCTTATTAGCACTTGTATCCTTGGCTAAACCAGCGTTGTGAATGCTTAAACTGTCATTTTTCAACTCTTGTAACTTTTGCTCTATGATTGTTATTTCTTTGTCAATGTCGGTAATGTCCTTGTCAGCCATGTTTTACTATATGCCCACAAAATGAAAACAAAGAATAGCCCAACAAATGATACAAAGTATATAAACGTAATATTCCTAAAACCGCTGCCACCAAATTTGTATCGTTTTTACAAAGTACAAATAATTATTTAATAGGTCCGCTTAGGATTCCTTCCTAAGTATCACGTTTATAATATGAATCAAACAAACTTCAACAAAGATGACACTATAACAAGAAACTGATTGAAATTCACTATGTGTATATACTTTTTCCTCGGTCCTATCTGGATAAATGATTAGCAAACAAATATGAACTTAACGACAACGAATTATAAGAAAAGAATCAACCACAATTGAATCACTAACGATCAAGCAAATAATCAAATATGAAGTTATAACACTGTAGTTGCAGACTGAGTGGTTTAACCAACAATCCTGTTGTTTCCCGCCACAGTCTGCAACTACCTAAAAAAAACACCCTAAAAGTCATTAAGACACCTTTTATTAAAAGTCACCAAGACACTATTTTAAGTCACCAAGACACTATAGTCACTGAGACACACTATTACGGAACTAGGTTCCTGAGCTGAGTGGTTTAACTAACAATTCTGTTGTTTCCCGACACAGCCCAAGAACCTAGTCCAGGAGGTGTTACTCGAACGATGAGTAACGACCAAGTCACCAAATACTTCATGGGTGTCTATATTTATACTGTTTCTACTTACTAATGATTGGTTAATAATTTGCGGACTCTGATTGGTTGTAATGTAAACGTTGATTGGCTAATTATCAAATGATACGATTGGACGATTCAAGGGCATTTCAATCCAATATGATTTTTTGTTTCATTACATATTTAAAATCTTTAAAGAACATATGTACAAATGTTATTAATGAAATATATGGAGATAACGAACAGTACTAGTATTTATGTTCCAAAAATCCATATAAACAATACAAATTAGGAGCAGAGCAAACACAGACCTTGGAAACATAAGAGGTGGGATCAGGTTCCACAGAGGAGTGAGCATCCCCTGCTGGCCCGCCGTGTGATCCTTAACATTATCGGATATAACGGAAAAATCCGTCGTCAATTCTGTATAAATAATGGATTAACAATTGGTATGAAAAACGTCAATCAGCATTTGACTAAAAAAAATAATTGTATTTGCTGAGAAGGTTATTGTATCGACCATAGAACTTACAAAAGGATGACGTTAAACGAGACTGCTGATATTCTTGTTTCATCAACTTGTTTGTGATAATCTTTAAAAATCTTCTCCTACTGAAGCACTGGGTCAGGAAATTGAAACTTATGTTTGTGGAATATAATCAGTATGCCGGGGGTTGAGCCACAATGAATCATCAAATATTCCATAGAAATACATAGGAAAAATCTTCTCATCTACAGCAGAGTCATGATTGTAAGCGCCTTCAAATTCAAGTTGTTCCAATCATGACCCCCGGGGGGTAGGGTGGGGCCACGATTAAAAGATAAAACTAATAGGAACAAAACTTTTTTTCAAAACTTCTAAAGCCATGATTTGTCAAAGAAATATGATAACATACCTAGTTGCTGTTCATTGTAGATTCAAGTTTGTTCGAATCATGCCTCCTTTCCTTTGGGGATAGGTTGATACCACTAATAAAATACTGAACTAACCAAAGTACTCAGGTGAGCGATGTGTTCCATGGGTCTCTTGTGTTTAATACTTTTATTTAAATTTCTGCCTTTTATTCTAACTTCTTGTTTACATTTTCCAGTTTTTCATTTGACGATGCATGGATTCGCAATCATAGGTTAAGAAAAATTTATGCTTATTCGTCAAAATTGTTTTTTGAACATTTTAAAGTCATTGCTCGGTATACTAAGCGGCAGATTTAAGGGCACCTGTTGCGCCAATTATTCAGCAAATGACGCAAAAAAAGCGACAAGCACTGCATAGGAAGAATATCTATCATCACGTGCACACATTGTGCAAGTTTTTGTCAAACACAAAACATAACGGGTTATTTGGCATAACTTGATCAGTACATTTCTATTAGATATATACAATGGCTGTTCTTGTAGTAGTTCTGAATGTATTTATCCAGTTGTCCACCGCTGCCTTGATTCTAAACCAGTCTCTGACCACTGATAATGAACACCTCATACCAAGGAATTCCGACATAATACGACAATTACTAAATCAAGAGACGTTAATACGGATGTCAATGAGGAAAGATCTACAGAATCTCCAGAAAGATCAGACAACACTGGAGAGGGAGAACCAGGTACGAGAGAAAGAATTCAATAATCTGAAGGTCAAGTTTGAAGAATTAAAGAATGAAACCATTTCCCTGAAAAAACTGAATGTGAACTTAACTAATGAAGTCACTGATTTGTTGAATGAAAAAGACAAAACTGAGAAAATGATCACGGCAAGAGATGGAAATATAACTGATATAGTGAGGAAAATTGAGGAGTTATCCAAATTAAGTTCTTTACCGGTCCATGATGTTATCAACAATTTAAGAGGTAAATTCACTTATTATTTTTGTTTTTAAAGATTTTTTGAGTGTTCACACGCAATGAATTTATCATAAGGAACTGAAAGTAGTGTCTCTTTATTTAACCTCATCAGTTAAAAATTTATAAATATTACAAATAAAACCCATTATGGACATATGGCACAAAATATTTTATTTTATGAAGTACAATAAAATAAAATACTTTTCTGCGATAGGCCATTTTCATTAAAATCTCGATATTTGAGATGGTTACTACCTGTATGATTAACCAGTGATTTATCACCTGTTTTGTCTGTATGTCACAACTCATACCTGGAGAACTGTTCGATACGAGGACTGATGCTGTCATCAACTTAATCATGAACCGAATTTTAAAAATTCTTTATAGCTTTGGGCTTTAGATCAGTTTACCTACTGTAATTAACTAGATGCTGTCATGAGACAGTAATACCCGCACTAAGGTGTTTGCCTCTAAATACACGCTCCTACATACTGGGCGGCTTTGCAAGGAAAAAGTCAAAATAATTCTATAATTTACATGTATTCATCAAATTGAGTATGAAATTCTCAGACCCTGTGACCTATAACTCAGAACCTTTACATGCTTCATTCATTATATACCAGTTTGAATTCTATTAATGATGTAAATTAGATTTTGATAAATGTTTTGCTCATAATAGGACCTTTTTAAATTTACTAATCCCCCCCCCCCCCTTGACACTACAATCACACAGCACATACTTTTTGGAATAGGCTAGATGGAAAAGTTTTGTTAAAACATCGTTTGTTATGAATTAATTTAAAATTTGTTCTTGTACTATACATGTTAACATGTAAATTTCTACATCACATCACGTTGCATCACCCATTATCATAATCTCAGCGAGATGGGTAGAGACTGAAAATTTGGACTGACGTCTACTACCCATCTCAGACTAGTCCCATACAACGTGATTCGGGCTTTTTTGCTCCGACTTCGGCAGCTCGTTTCAATAAATACAGGCTGAAATAAATTATCTGCCCGCCTCAACTTTTTCCTTTGAACATCCCTTAAAGTGTCTATCACTATAAAACTTTCCTTTCTTACCTTTAAAATGTTTAAATCCAGTAAAATATAAAGTTGTTTATTTTTCCTGACAGCATAATGGCTGTTTGCTATTCATTTAAACCTTCGCTGCTGAAGAGTTCCACAATAATCTGTTTCCAATAATTCGTACTACTACTATTTCTTATAAGAATGATCTATAGTATGAATTATTGGAAACAGATTATTGTGGAACTCTTCAGCAGCGAAGGTTTAAATGAATAGCAAACAGCCATTATGCTGTCAGGAAAAATAAACAACTTTATATTTTACTGGATTTAAACATTTTAAAGGTAAGAAAGGAAAGTTTTATAGTGATAGACACTTTAAGGGATGTTCAAAGGAAAAAGTTGAGGCGGGCAGATAATTTATTTCAGCCTGTATTTATTGAAACGAGCTGCCGAAGTCGGAGCAAAAAAGCCCAAATCACGTTGTATGGCGTACCATTATCATATTTTTAGATTAAACACCATTTGGCACACCTCGGCCGATTCCCACTTCATCTGATAAGGTGACGGAATCGGCCGAGGTGTGCCAAATGGAATTAGTACATGGCTGCAGTCTGGTGTGCATTGCATTTTGTGTTATAATTGGATTTATATTTCATGAAGTTGACGAGACCTATGGCAGTCGGTAAGTACAAGTTTAATTATAGTGGGGGGTAAAATAAACCCAAACGATTAGGTTAAAGTTCAAAAAGGGTCGAAGATCATCGCATGCCACACTAGACGAATTTCATATTGTGAAGTTATCTCCCGTTGTCGATGTGACATTCAGTTACTGCCAATACTGGTGCGGATCCAGAATTTTTTTTCAGGAGTAGGGAGGGGGGTTCACATCTCAGTCAAAAAATTCCAGCCCAGAATTTCCTGACAAGCAGGAGAAAAAAAACTGAAAACAAATAAACAAAATAAAAACAATGATAGTGTGGTCAATGTTTTTCTAAGTTAGGGGGAGCTAGATGTCCAAAGTCATTTTTTATTTGCTTCAGTATATAGTCTTGTTTAAATAACAAAGCAAATTCCAGGGGGGGGGGGGATGGGGGGATTCCAATCTCCCTACCCACTCCCTGTCCCTGAAATAACAATCTATTTTGTGATTCCAATTAAATAGTATATTTTTTTCCATTTGACTAATTATACATATTTTGTTTCTTGTGTTTATATTATGTCTGTCTAAATTATAACCTTGCCCATAAGTTTTAAGTGGGATGGGCTATACAAATGGCTTCCACATTTTATAGGTTTATTTCTTGTGACAATTAAGACCTTTTATTTGGGTACCATTAATTTTTACCTCTGATCGCTTGACCTAGGATACACATTTTTACAAGAAAAATACCAAACTTTAAACTTGGCCTAAATTTTGATCAGTAGGTGCTAGGGCTTTAATGCTTAACATGTGTATTCATTGTGAACTGTCAACAGGTATAAATATGTTTGACCTTGACCCTAGAGTTTGAACCACTTAAAAAATATTAACCTTGGCAATTAACTTTTGAACAGGAATTACTAGGGATTTCTTTATTTCACATGTGCATTCCTTGTGACAAGACTTTCTTCTGATACTAACAATTTGAACCCTTTGACCTTGACCTTTGAGTTTGACATATATTTGAGAAACTTCAACCTTCACCATAGGGTTCCATACAGGGACATCAGTGTTTCACAAACACACCTTGTCTTCATTATTATTTGGTGGTGTCTCCATATGAGGGAAAAATTCCCAAGAGAGATGTATTCACAACAAACAAACAAATTACTAAAGAAAATATAAAACATGAATATGTTGGTCATGCATATCTCTGCATGAAAAAAACAGCTTTTCAAATACTGCAACCATATTGTAACCCTTTCAAAACACTCATTTGAGCTTTTCTGGTTTCCTTAGCATATAACGTCTGTCGTGACGTATCGTCCATCTGTTTGTCTGAAAACTTTTTACATTTTTAACTTCTCTAGAACCACTGGGCCAATTTTACCCAATTTATATAGAAATATGTACATTTGTATGTCAGACTGTCCATCTGTCTCAATAAATTTAACCTTGGTCATCACAGTCATATCTACTGAATGAGAAGAGACATTCATATTAAACTTATGTATTAGTATTTACCTGTGAGAATGGCATGGTTTTTTTTTTTTTTTACATGTGACCTAGAAGTTTGACCTACTTGCAAAAAAATTAAATTGTTATAAATTCATCATTTTGAAAGAGAAAAGTTAGGGCATTCATATCATAATGCATGTATATTATTACCTGTGATAAGACCTTTCCAAATAAATCATGACTTTTACTCTGTGACCTTGACCTTGAAGCGGTCAAGCCTAACCTACTTTTCAAAAATGTTGCATTTGCTTATAACTTTTGATTGAGATGAGATATGACTCTCACATTTGACATGTACATTAATTACTCATAAGAATTCAAGGTGTTTCCCAGCATGCGATGCTTTTTTACCCCTTGACGTTGATGTTTTACATAATTTTCAAAATATTTAACTCTCCTAAAAGATGATTAGGCTTCTGAGGAACATTAAGGAAGACTTCAGGGAAGACAGGGCTTTTTGCACAAAAAACTTCATTTTTCGACCCCCATTTGACCCCCTGGGCCAAAATCAACATTCCGAAACCTTACTGCACATCTACATGACACCACCAACCATCTCCCAAAAGATGATTAAGCTACTGTGTAAAATGTAGGAGAAGTTCAGGGAAGACGGGGCTTTTTGCATAAAAAAACGTCATTTTTTGACCCCCATTTAAACCCCTGGGGCAAAATCAAAATTCCGAAACCTTACTGCACATTTACATGACACCACCAACCATCTCCCAAAAGATGATTAGGCTGCTGAGTAAAATGTAAGAAAAGTTCAGAGAAGACGGGGCTTTTAGCATAAAAAAGATCATTTTTCGATCCCCATTTGACCCCCCAGGGCAAAATCAAAATTCCGAAACCTTACTGCACATCTACATGACCCCACCAACCATCTCCCAAAAGATGATTAGGCTGCTGAGTAAAATGTAAGAGGAGTTCAGTGAAAACAGGGCTTTTTGCATAAAGAACGTTATTTTTCGACTCCCATTTGACCCCCCGGGGCAAAATCTAAATTCAGAAACCTTACTGCACATCTACCTGACACCACCAACCATCTCCCAAAAGATGATTAGGCTACTGTGTAAAATGTAGGAGAAGTTCAGGGAAGACGGGGCTTTTTGCATAAAAAACGTCATTTTTTGACCCCCATTTAAACCCCTGGGGCAAAATCAAAATTCAGAAACCTTACTGCACATTTACATGACACCACCAACCATCTCCCAAAAGGTGATAAGGCTGCTGAGTAAAATGTAAGAAAAGTTAAGAGAAGACGGGGCTTTTAGCATAAAAAAGATCATTTTTCGATCCCCATTTGACCCCCCAGGGCAAAATCAAAATTCCGAAACCTTACTGCACATCTACATGACCCCACCAACCATCTCCCAAAAGATGATTAGGCTGCTGAGTAAAATGTAAGAGGAGTTCAGGGAAAACAGGGCTTTTTGCATAAAAAACATTTTTTTCCCCCATTTGACCCCCCGGGGCAAAATCTAAATTCCTAAACCTTACTGCAAATCTACATGACACCACCAACCATCTCCCAAAGATGATTAGGCTACTGTGTAAAATGTAGACAAGTTCAGGGAAGACGGGGCTTTTTGCATAAAAAACGTTCTATTTAACTTCATTTGAAACCCCTGGGGCAAAATCAAAATTCAGAAACCTTACTGCACATTTACATGACACCACCAACCATCTCCCAAAAGGTGATAAGGCTGCTGAGTAAAATGTAAGAAAAGTTCAAGAAGACGGGGCTTTTATCATATTATACTTTATTTACCCCCCAAATTAAAACGATATTTGCGCCGAAACCTTACTGCACATGTTACATGACCCCACCAACCATCTCCAAAAGATGATTAGGCTGCTGAGTAAAATGTAAGAGGAGTTCAGGGAAAACAGGGCTTTTTGCATAAAAAACATTATTTCTTGACCCCCCATAAAATATAAATTTAAATTTTTACTGCTTATTTGACACCACCAACCATCTCCCAAAAGATGATTATAGGCTACTGTGTAAAATGTAAGAGGAGTTCAGGGAAGACGGGGCTTTTTGCATAAAAAACATCATTTTTCGACCCCCATTTGACCCCCTGGGGCAAAATCAAAATTCAGAAACCTTACTGCACATGTACATGACACCACCAACCATCTCCCAAAAGGTGATTAGGCTGCTGAGTAAAATGTAAGAGGAGTTGAGGGAAAACGGGGCCTTTTGTATAAAAAACGTTATTTTTCGACCCCCATTTGATCCCCCTTGGACAAAATCTAAATTCCGAAACCTTACTGCACATCTACCTGACACCACCAACCATCTCCCAAAAGATGATTAGGCTACTGTGTAAAATGTAGAAGGAGTTCAGGGAAGACGGGGCTTTTTGCATAAAAAACATCATTTTTCGACCCCCATTTGACCCCCTGGGACAAAATCAAAATTCTGAAACCTTACTGCACATGTACATGACACCACCAATCATCCCCCAAAAGACGATTAGGCTGCTGAGTAAAATGTAAGAGGAGTTCAGAGAAGATGGGGTTTTTGCATAGAAAACGTCATTTTTTGACCACCATTTGACCCCCGGGGCAAAATCAAAATTCCGAAACCTTACTGCACATCTACATGACCACCAATCATCCCCCAAAAGGTGATTAGGCTGCTGAGTAAAATGTAGAAGGAGTTCAGGGAAGACGGGACTTTTTGCACAAAAAACGTGATTTTCGACCCCCATTTGACCCCCCGGGGCAAAATCAAAATTCCAAAACTTTACTGCACATCTACATGACACCACCAACCATCTCCCAAAAGATGATTAAGCTACTGTGTAAAATGTAGGAGGAGTTAGGGAAGAAAAGTGTGACAGACGGACGGACGGACGGACATGAGTAACAACAATATACCCGAACTTTCTTTAGAAAGTGCGGGTATAATGAATGGTGGTGATTAACTCTTAAAACACATCACTAGAGAACAACCAAGAAACACGCGCAATCAAGGCGTGATTCACTAGCACTTTGTAATATACATGCAGTCAATTAAGTTCCAGATAATTTTTTTTTTTTTTTAAATGATACTAGTTTATTGCTTTGTATTTCATACAACAAAAAATTATTTCCTTTGTTTTCGGGCAATATTGAATATATTAGCTTTGCGTCGGGCATGCGGAGGAGGCTAACATAATCAATGTTGCCCTAAACTCCAGTCAATATTTGTATATTTTAGACTAAAGGGGGAAAAGATCACTAATGTACGTATACATTCTAATTCTACTCTACTTCTGCTTTTTACGAGGGGATGCTCCGCTTTGCGTTGCCCTTGTGTCTAAATAGCATTCATGGACATGTATCAGGAGACACAATTATGCACATATGTTATCCTTTTAGTTTAATGCAATGTTGTCCTTTCAGATGTCCGATATCAGTTATCTGGTTATCCTGACCTACTTGTACAATCAGCTTGTGCAGGACAAAGCGAGACTTCGGGTCACGTGGCAGCTGTGAGAAGAACGTGTTCGAATGAGGCTCCTTCCTGCGATACAGTTTGTAAAGCAGCCACACCCCAGATGAAAGCTAGAGTGAATGAGGGCTCCAAAGAGTTGAGTATATGCTCACCAATAATAATAACTTTAAAATTCTTAAAATCAGTTGATCATTGCCAAAGCTTTCAATTATAAGTTGCTCATATACCGGATTACACAGTTTATAGTTGTTAGAAATTTGGAAGTCAAGAAGTTTTATAGGTTAACATCCCTTTATCTCAATATTGTTGCATTATTTGATTTATCAACACAAGTTATCAAGGCTTTTCTAAGTCACCCCTACTGTGTCCAACATAATTGAAATAGATATTTGTCCATAATTATGCACTGACTGACTCGAAAAACAAATGCTTGAAAAAAAAGTTCTCGAGAAAATGTTTTCTTTGAAATAATCTTTCTAAAGTTTTTTTTTCTTGTATGGTTTATATGTAAAAGAATTTTCAGCATTTTAAAGAAAAATCAGTTTTAAAGTATTGAAATATTACATGTGTACAAGCAGCTCCATCAGTAATATGTAAAAATATCAATCTAATTAAAATTAGATGTTAGATCCGCTTGCATACTCGCTACACGTAGTGAGTATGCGAGCGGATCTAACATCTAATTTTAATTAGATTGTAAAAATATACACCATGTTGACCGTTTTAAAGTTACCGTACATTATATATGCGTAGACATTTCCTTCTAAAACAAAAGTTAGTAGTTACTATGTGAAGTTTTGTGTCAAGTTAAAAAGATAAACGTTGCTTTTTTTCAGTCTTTAGTTTTCAGCTCGAAAATTTTAGTATATGTATACATGATTATTATTTAAAATTATTTATTTTAATTTTTCATACGGTGGATTAATTTCTGCCCAGTCACTAACATTGTATGATTTTTTTGACAGGGCAACATGTTTCATGTCTTTCCACTTTTATGATGGGGATAAGAAGATTAAACCAGGTGCTCCGGGAAAGTTTAATCGACTCATGTACCGCTACCATCCGGGTGCTTGCTCGGGACAGTATTGCGGGCCGAATTTTTGTTGCTGTAGATTTTAATTAACACACTGAAATTCTTTGGGTCTCCGCCAACAAAACTTTTGTGACATTTTATTAGGCTTTACTTGTTGGATACATGATAAATGAGAATTGCTAGCTATTTGCATTTTTGGGGGTGGGGGAGGACTAATGGTATGCATTGCAGTTACCAATGTTGTAATTGAAACGGACAACAAACTATCGCTTTATCATAAACACATGTGTAGTGAAGCGAGTTTATTGGTCTGTAGAGACGACTTTAAAAGATGAGAAGATGAAAAATATATTCAGTTTCGTTCAAAAATATGCCTAGTCTAAAGAAGAAATTAAAGTAGTTTATTAACGAATGCTGGAAAGTGGCGATATACTGTACATATCCAACACTGCGCCGTAAATTGCACTTTCTTTGCATTACGGGATCTGTAGTGTTATGGTTAAAGATAACATAAAAGAATAAATAACGCTTCAGTTCTGCAGCTTAATCATATGATGCAATGCTTATAATGATAATTTTCCTCAATGTATCATGTTTTACAATCCCATGTTAACTTGTGTAAAATAGTTTTGTTTTTATTGCATAATACTGGGTAATTATGAGTCACCATAAAATAAGGATGCAAGAGGTAACATATAATATCATTAATAGTATTTTTTAATGCTCAAATTTTGTCCTTTACTCGGCACTCAGGGCCATTGAGCAGATAGGGATTTTTTTCGTACCAGCACTAACTGCGACACGGGACATCGGTTCATACGGTCTCATCCGAAGGACCAGTCTCCACAATTCAGTGAGATTCCTGCTCAATGGCCCTGAGTTCCGAGTGTAGGAGAAAATTTGTAGCTCTCCCCCGGCAAGTGGTGGACGTTAAACAACACACATTTAATCAATCCATAGATCGAATAAAATATTTGTATCATTTGAACGTGTTTTCAGATATCTTTTTATATCTGCCCAAATTATGAGCATGTGGGGGAGTATGATGTCAATATTAATGCCTTGTCAGAAGACGGCATGATATTTAAACTTGTTAGCTCACCTGAACCGAAGGCTCAAGTGAGCTTTTCTGATCACATTTTGTCCGTTGTCCGTCCGTCTGTTCGTCTAGCTGTCCGTCCGTCTGTAAACTTTTCACATTTTCGACTTCTTCTCAAGAACCACTGGGCCAAATTTGACCAAACTTGGTAAAAAGCATCCTTGGGTAAAGGGGAATTTAAATTATTAAAATGAAGGGCCAAGTCCCTTCACAAGGGGAGATAATCAAGAAAAGACAAAAATAGGGTGGGGTCATTAAAAAATCTTCTTCTCAAGAACCACTGGGCCAGAAAAGCTGAAACTTATGTGAAAGCATCCTTGGGTAGTGAAAACATTAAATTGTTAAAATCATGACCCCCGGGGTAGGGCGGAACCACAATAGGAAATCCCAGTTTCACATGGAAAGATATAGAAGAAATATTTAAAAATCTTCTCAAAAACCAGTGGGCCAGAAAAGCTGAATCTTATGTGGAAACATCCTGGGATAGTGTAGATTTCAAATTCTCTAAATTATGATCAGTGGAGTTGGGTGGGTCACAATATGTATTACAAGGGGGAAATCTAGTAAAGAGCAGAATGGTCAAAGCTTCTCAGGTGAGCGATGTGGCCCATCGGCTTCTTGTCAGTATTTATTTTAACAAAAAAGTAGAAGGCTCCGTGCCATAAAACTCGAAAAATAGTTGCGATGCATATGCAAGAGCGACAAGAATAACATTGATTAAAATAATGTGGCCGCCATCTTTGGGGAAAAACCCATAGAATCCTCACAGTAGCCTTTGTAGTTTTCAGGTTTGTGACTTTGTCATTTGACTATGAAAAAAAATCGTTGCTAGTGTACCCTGATTGCCCTATGGTGGGACTACCCACGTAACAACAGAAAACAAATTAAACACAGTGTATTCATCATAGCCCGCCCAAATGTTTGGTAGCTTATTCTTTAAAGAGGAGAAAATATTAATGTTGTTTCTTTCCATTTTGACCTTTTGGTCGACCCCGCAAAGGGACACAACTTTTGTAATGAGTGGATTGTACTATCTTACTGATATGGAAATTTTTATGTCTTCAATACTAGAGATTATATTTGCTTTCAAATAAAAAGTATTCCTAGTATTTTTTGCTTCTTTTACGAGAAAAAAACCTCTAAAAATACAAAATATTACCACCTATCATTAATTTTAAATTTGGATATAATAATTCTGATCTTATTGGGTTGAGGTAAATTTACTAACCTGACAACATAAAGAAAACTTCTTTGGTCTTCACGAGGGTCAATGTAGGGTACGATACGTGAGTATGTTTTCAACTAAGAGTTTACAAACTTAAAGTAATAAAACATTTACATAATTTGCATCTTAATTAATATAATATTAAAAAAAAACTTTTTTTAAAAACAAGACAAGTCTACACTTCATGTACTGTGTAATCACTGTTTTGCAATGAAACGTAGGTTAAAATAAAGGATTCGAAAGCATAGTTTAAAAAATGTGTTTTATCTTTAATGCATTTTGAAATCTTATACAAAAAGTAATGATTTGGTATACCATGCGACAGACTAAAAACATTTACTGCGCAAGTATGTAGCAGATGACACAAAATTAAAGCTAAAAGCGCTGCATTTCGTGTGAAAAACCCATCATATAAATAGGAAAAATATCCATCATCACGCATTGCACAAGTTTTTAGAAAACAACACATATGGTAATATTTGACCAGTACATTAACAATAACTATACAATGACTGTTCTTGTAGTTGTTCTGAATGTATTTATCCAGTTGTCCACCGCTGCTTTGATTCTAAACCAGACTCTGACCATTGATAATGCACACCCCATACCAAGGAATTCCGACATGTTACGACAATTACTAAATCAGGAGACGTTAATACGGATGTCAATGAGGAGAGACCTACAGAATCTCCAGAAAGATGAGAGAAAACTGGAGAGTGAGAACCAGGCACGAGAGAAAGAATTCAATAATCTGAAGGTCAAGTTTGAAGAATTAAAGAATGAAACCATTTCCCTGAAAAAAATAAACGTAAACTTATCCAATAAAGTCACTGTTTTGTTGAATGAAAAAACTGCAAGAGATAGAAATATAGCTGATGTGAAGAAGAAAATTGGGGAATTATCCAGAATAAGTTCTTCAAATGCCAAGGATGCTACCAACAGTATAAAAGGTAAGATTATTAAATTTTCAGTATTTTAGTTTTTAAAGATTTTTCATTGTGCAAACACACAATGAATTTATCGTATGAATAGGAAATAGTGTCTGTTTTGCGTTATCTGTTAAATATTCCTGAATATAAAAAAAAAATAAATAAATAACACCCCCCCCCCCAAAAAAAATATACAAAAAAGCCAAACAAACTCCCCCAAAAAGCTCCAACACCAACAAGAACGACAACAAGAAAAAAAAAACTACGATGAACATATGACGCAAAGATATTTAATAAGTTTTTAGTACAATTAAATGAAATGTATTTTTGCCTTGGGTTAATGTCGTTCATATAATTTACATATTTCAATTTGACCACGACAAGATCTCATTTTCATAAGATCATATACATGTACCTTCTTTTGTATATAAATGATTAATTCTGGTGGTTGCATAAATAAATTTGTTGCATTAAATCAATATTCATTTTCCTCTTTTTCCTTCTTCACGAATAGTAAAATGATGAAAATGCAAATTGGCCCTTTCCCCCTCCAACATCGAAACAAAAATATTTCCCAGTATAAATAATAATATTTTTTCTCTAAAAACAGATCTATATAATTCAGTTCCTTCACATTTAAAAAGTAATGACATTATGAGATTGTTACTATCTCGATACTTTACCGAGTTTTTGTACTGACTGCAGATCATTTTCTTTCGGGATAACTTTTCCTGTCGTCTCTCTGTCTGTTTGTTTGCTTGTCTTTCTGTCACAATTCATGTCTTTGGATCTTTTTACATTTGGTTCAAGGGTTACTGACATTGTGGCCTTGACCTTTTACATACTTTTTTAAACACTTTATAGTATTGGGGTTCGAATGGTGGGTGCTGACGAACTCTTACAATCCAAAGGATTGAAGAATTTAACCTGCCTCAATAAATAAACCAGGAATAGTTTTGAATTATTTCAATCTATTACGTTATACATTAATGCATTAAATGATGATATAAATGGGTTCCATGAACCAATCAGTGCTACACGAACCAATCTGCTTTGTTGCAGGTTTATAGGTGACGATCATTCTACGAGATAAATAAAAGCAATTAGAAACTAGAGGTACTGTGAGCACTGAGCTAACTAAATGTGATACCTCGCCTCTAAAATGATTATAATGGCAAAGTTTATGCTTTGCTCTGAGAGACCCGAAATAAATAAATGTCAGATCAAAGTAAAATAAGAGGTGGACAATTGCATCATATAATAAAAGATCTGTATAATTATATTTAATTATAATTAAATTTTATTCTGTGGTATAGGAGAAGCAGCTGATAAGATAGGTATCCCTTTAAGAGGTAGTCCACTGAAAATCAGGCAATGGGTGGCACATCGAATGTCATGGATTTTTATTATTTTTTGCATAGAGACTTTTTAAAGGAAGTGTTTACACATGACAACATCAAAAGAAATTTTAGTGCTCCACTAGTCCTATTTTTGGTAAGTGTTCAATTTTAAGTGCAAAAAGGTCAACATGGGGTAAAAAAAAACAACCACGTTTTTATTTTGTTTTATATGTACCAGATACGCAAAACCTGAATGTGTCTATCAATATTATTTATACCATAGACACTTATCTTTAATTTTAGTAATGAATAAGACTCCAATTTATATTTCTTTAGAAAAAAATATGTGGTCCAAAATTGAGTTTAGCAAGTAACTTTTTGAATTCATTATCCAATTTTCATTACGTTATAAAACCCAATACATTTCAATGACAGATTTTTTTTCTCATGTTATTATGAATACAAAGTACAAACTTTTGAGTCACTCAATAAAATCAGTGGGCACCCGTATATTGAGAGAAAAAAAAGGAGTCAAATTTACCTATGTTTTACAATTTTTCACAATTAAACCTT